AGACCTCAAGAACATCATAGAAATCTATATGCAAGTCCAAAAAACAAATCCTAGGCTAGCCTCAACACCCCGATCATGCATAAACCCACCCAAATATACCAAGAATATCACAACAACGAGATCCACGATATAAACCTAGGAAAAGCTCTAGACATAATAAAATACAAGATTACACATATAATTAATCACAACATCAAGATTAAGATTATCAAATAATCACAATATAAATCCTTGGCAAAGGTTCTATCAAGACTCAATCACAAAATCACATATACAGTTATAAAAGGAGCTAATAAATAAGATATAGCAAGGAAAATAGGTTTTGACAGGGGTTACCTCTTAGCCCTAATCAATATCCCTGGTTACTAAGGCTCTTCTCTAAGATTCTTCTCCCAATTGATCTTCCTAGGCTTGTTAGTGGGGGACTTCCTTGGCGGATTACCTTAGAGTGTTTTCGAGTGAGGGAGAAGAGAGGAAGGTTCTATCTGCTTCCTAATCCCCTATTTATATGTTTAAGGAAAACCTACTCTAGGTCTGAATAATAAGGCCTGCTTTCCTTATTCCCTATGGCTTAATGTTCCTGGTTCAGGTAAAGGTTCACGATTCATTGTGGACCGCCTGGGTTAATTAAGGGAATTATAATTGGATAAATTCCTCTTAATTATTTTAATTATCAGAATTAATTTAATAATTAATTCAGATTTGAAGGTCGTAACACGGGGTGTTACACCGCGCAAGACCGCCAAAAGTCCTACGCCGACTTAGGGAGAAAGCCGACCGAATTCCAAGTAGGAGAGAAGCTGTGGTTGAAGATCTCACCCACGCGAGAGGTAATGAGGTTTGGGAAGAATTGTGACACCCCGATATTTTAAAACACTTTATTTTAATAAAATATTCTTGAAAATAAAATCTATCTTTTAATCCTAAATATTTTAGCTCTAATACTTTCAAAACAAATTGTTTTTGTGCCTAAACTTAAATAATTTATTTTATAGCCCACAATTTTGCTATTCAAAATCTATCTGAGTCGAGCCTGTCATATCATTTTACAAGTCTAAATGTTGAGTCCAAATAGTTTTGTTTAAGCCCAAAATAATCCTAGTCCAATTGTATAATCCAAACCTTAGTCCAAATTATATGATATGAATTTTGAGACCAAAAACCCTAACATTTTAATTCAAGGTTATCTCAACCTCTTTGCTGATAGAGATCAGCCGCCAACACCAACTCACTCCCCATCGCCATTTTTGTTTTTATTTCTCTTCGTCAACAGCCATCTTCCTTGTTGTGAGCTAAGACATGTACTTTGAACCTCCTTCTCCTCCTCTGTCCTCCGTCTCCCTTTCTCTTCGCGACGAAGCAGCAGAACAGAGTAGTCTAGTGGTTCCTCTATTTCTTACCGGCAAGCAGAGCAACGACGACACCTTTCTCCTTTCATCTCTAGTCGACGGCGACGACTAGATCGTGACCGGCAAGCTTCTAGCGACGAAGTTTCCTCCCGCGGTGGTTGGACCAAAAGCAGTTGCGGCGGCTGGACCTCCTTCGGTGAGCAGCGGCTATGGGCGGTGGAGGTTCGCGGTGTTTGTGACTTGAGCTGTGGTTGCCGGTAGTGTGGTGTGGTTAGGAGGGGTGGTGTCGAAGCTTCCCTTTTCCGGCAAAGTTGTGGACGAAGCTGAGGTGAGGTATGTTCTGTTAGTAATGTTTAGTTGTTGTTAATGATTAGGGTTAAAGATGGTGATTAGTGTAATGGTTGGTTGGTTAAGATTAAGGATGGTAGAGATTATTGATAATGGTTGATGTTGTTTAAATAATCATAATATTGTTAATGATGATTAAGGATGGTAGTAATGATTAGTTGAGTGATTATGGGTACTGACAATATATTAATGAAGATTAAATCATTGATGATGGGGATGTTATGATTTACGTATGATGGGTTAAAACTGATTAAAGATGATTATGGATGGCTAATATTGAAGATGAGATCTGGTGGTAAATCTGGAAATTTGAATTGCTTAATCTTTAGAGATTGTGAAGTGATGAGATGAAGATTAAAGATTTATGGTGGATTAATGAGGTAGAAATTATTAATTATTTGGTATTAATCATTAATGGGTATGATTAAATGGTGATGATGCAATAATTGGTGATGACGATGCTAATGATATAATTAATGATTAATGATGATAATTATTGAATAATGATGAGCATGATGATGTTGGATTAATGGTGATTAGCAAGATGGTTAGTGATAATCATGGTGTTTAAGGATGATGAGGATGCTTATGAATTAATGATCATTAATCATGGTTAAATGATTATTGTTGATGATGGCAGTGAGTTAAATGATTATTGTTGATGATGGCAGTAAATGGTAAAGGAATTATTCGATGGTGATGAGGATGTTGATTAGTGATGGTTACTAATAATAATAATAATATTATTATTTTTAGTGATTAGTGATTATATTAGATTGTTGACCCACAGGTTCTTGTTGAAGTGACTAACTTATAAGTTGAGCCTAGATTGGGTGCTGGCTTTGAGAGCTTAGCTTGAGGTAAGTTTCTATGTCTGTTTAAATTACTTTGCCCTACTAAATGTTTTACGTATATGATTTGTGTATTTAAATTATTTTTAGAATGTGTTCTAGTTTCAAAATGTGATAAATAGCAAAATATGGTTATTTTGGTGTTGACTTGTGATTTATATGGGTTGAAACTATATTTTTGAAAGGTGTATAATCTATGGTGTGCCTAAATGTTTTGTGTTGAAACCCCATTATAATTGGGATTGATTTGAGTATTAGAAAACTTATAATTTTGTGATACACATATATATTTGTACTTTGAGAAATTGTGGTTGAAAACCTAAGTATATTGAAATGAGTGAAACTATGTTTATATTGGAGGATATGACATTATATTTACTTTTGAAGGACATTGTTTTTGGAGGAAATGTGTAAATTAGAGAAAATATATTATTTTGCATACTATTATATTCTTTTTGGAGGATAAAAACTATTATGGAAAGTATGGATATTGATGGGTTATAATGCGTTGTATTATTTGAAAACTATAATTTGGATAGCCTACCGGCAAATGATAATATTCATGAAAACCTTCTTGGAAAACAATTATTACTTTTGGAGGATACTGTATCTATTTTGATAACTATTCTTGTTTTTGGAGGATATATAAAGATGTATCTATTTTTGGAGGATATGTGGATATGATGGATGGTTGTGGAATGGTGGACTTCGGTCCTATGTGGGTTCTGGCCCTATTTTGATGAGATTGTATCTAGTAGAAAACATCCTGGGTACCTATTATATGTGGAGTAGCCTGGTAGAAAACATCCTGGGCTACTTGGACTAGTTACTACTCTTTTGGGTGGGGGAAGCCATTAGAGGGTGTGCACACTTAAGGTTTTAGTCCTTTATCCCACGAAAGGGACAAACTTGTGGAGTGGCCGATAGAGTGGATTACCGTGTCACTAGGGCTTAGTTGATCTAATACCCTTCGTCCCTTTCACCTTATATATATATATATATATATATATATATATATATATATGAGAGTATATGGATATGTGATACTTGGAAAAGTGATTTGAGAAATATGATTTGAATTCCTCCCTATCTATTATTATTGACATATATGTTCTGAGAATGACTTGAGAGAAATCTATATCTTGATATGATGACTTGAAGAGATTATTATTTTGCTATTGTGAATTCTTCCATATATACTTGTATACCTATCTATACTTCCAAAATGATTATGTGGAAAGCTATGCTTCGAAATGATACTCATATTGAAAAGTGATATTTCTAAATCCTCCATACTTATTATTTTGGGAAATGAACGAATGATTTATATGGTAGTTGTATTGTTTTGGAAAGAGTAAATGTTACTATTTTGGCGACCCTATTACTAATATGAAACCTAATGCTATTTTGAGTGGAGTGTGTTATGGCCTTGGTGCCTAAGAGTTATCTTGGAAAATGATTTACTACTTACCTTTGTTATTGAGTCAAACTATATGATTGAAATAATTTTAAAACTCATTTACAAAGTATGTCCAATTTGAAAAGTATAAATGTAAGTATTTTACAGGGCGGAGTAGAGCTTACTTAGCATTTTATGCTAATTCTTTTATTTGTGTTTTCCAAACCTTAATGTTTGCAAGATTTGAAGTTGTTGCTAGTTTGAGAGTGCGGCGTAGAGCTCGTAGTCTTGGATTTGAGTTTGGTATAACTGGTTTAGTCTTAGAACTTGAATTGTTGTTGTAGTTAATTTGTGATTTGGAAAGTGGAATGTTGTATTATGGATTTGTAGATAGAAACCTTTTTAGCCTGTGCGTTTGGGCTTAGTTGGCTGCCCAAGCGTGGCATAGCACCCCAATGGTTTAGATTTTGATTTTTGCTTCCGCATTTGTATTTAGTCGTTTAGTAAGAAAAGTCTTTTATTTTGGTTTTTAAGTTGGGGGTGTTACAAGAAAGGAAAACTAAGCCCAGATTTATTGGCCCCTACGAAATCTTAGAAAGAGTCGGGAACCTGGCTTACCGCCTCGCATTGCCGGCCAAACTGGACCGAGTACACAACGTGTTCCACGTGTCGCAACTAAAGAAATACGTGCACGACGCAACCATGTCCTCCAACCCGTTAAGTCTAAGCTTCGAGGACGAAGCTTCTTGTAAGGGGGGAGGGTGTAACACCCCGTTAAGGCTAAACACTAACCTGTTATTTTTGTGTCCAGTTTCGTATCGTGTTAACGGGTCGTGTCGATAATTGCCAGGTCTAGTTACCTCTTAGCCTTAACCAATTTCCTTGGCTACTAAGGTTCTTCTCTAAGATTCTCCTTCAATTGATCTCCCTAGGCTTGGTGGTGGGGAATTCTTTTGCTAAGTTTCCTCGGGGAATGTCTCGCATGGTAGGATTAATCGTTGCAAGGTTTCTAAATGCTTTCTAATCCCCTATATATAGATACAGGAGTCCTAACTAGAATCTGAATAGTAGAGGCCCACTTTCCCTATTCCTAACAGGATTAAAGACTTGATTAAGATAAGGGTCCATGATCCATTGCGGACCACACTAATTAATTAAGGAGAATTCTAGCACAATTAAATCCTTTTTAATTACTCTCTCTATCCCATTTTATGTGTCTTACTTTCCTTTTTAGTTTGTCCCAAAATGTTGTCCACTTTCCAAAATTGAACATCACCATCATTCTACTTTTTTCAAATTACCCTTCTAGCTTTTGCTTTCTTTATTGTTTTTATTTTCAAAAATGAAAAAGTGAGGGGCATAATTCGAAAGTGCATAACATTTACTTTAATTCATTAAAAAGCGTGCAAAAAGTAAATGAGACATCTAATTCGGGACGGAGGGAGTATATATTAACGAAATTAATTCCATATTTAGTCCGAATTTGGAGGCTGTAACACTGGGTGTTACACCCTCCCCTCTTACAAGAAGCTTCGTCTCCGAAGCTTAGACACAGGTGTAACACCCCGTGTTACGGCTTCTAACCCGAACAAATTATTTAATTACTTACCCTGAAAAGAGAATTAAATTCCATTAATTAACTAGTAAGGGTCCACCATAGACCATGGACTCTTATCCCCAAAACCAATCCCTTAATCTAATAATAAATATAATTAGCAAATTCATACCCTTCAGACCCTAATTAGGACTCTTAGATATATAAATAGGGACATAAGAAGCACTTAAAATACACACCACAATAGATATCACCGCACAAGAATTTCCAAGAATTCTCTTATCACCAACATAGGAGAAATCAAGAAGAGGAGATCTTAGAGAAAGACCCTTAATAGCCAAGGAATTTAATTAAGGCTAAGAGGTAACCCATGTCTCAACAAAACCTATTTTCTTCGCTATAATCTACTTCTTAGCTTCTTCTCTATGCTTGTGTCTAGATAAATCTTTTATGATGATGATGATATGATCTTGATGATTGATGAGACGATCTTATGTGTTGATCTTGATAATCTTGATGATTATAAGAGGATCTTGATATTTATGTGATGTTCTTGATAAATCTTGATGTTCTTGATTTTAAAGATAAACAATGATTTTGATGATATGAATATGATTAGAGCCCTAGATTGAACTGGGAATTTCGTATCGTGATGTTCTTGGTATATTTGGGTGGGATTTCGCATGTTCGGGTGTTATTTATGTTTAGATTAGAAGTCACGTTAGGATATGTTTAATATAATTCTTGGTTCTGATCCATTATTGACTACGTGGTATCGCCGTTTACGTTTAAAAGTGATTAAACATGGTTTCGGGTTCCACGAAAGATTCCGGGATTAATATATTGAAAAAGAGTCAGTGGGGAGTGGGGGGTAGGTGGGGGTAGGGGGCCCGCCACCTACCCGTTGCCCAAATTGGCGTCGCCGGCAGCGGGCAGACGACTGCCCGCCGGGCACCCGCTGCCCGGAGACTTTTTGCCAGCGGGCAGCCGGTGGGTGGTCCTACACCTGCCGGCCACCAGCTGGATTTTTCCCCACTTTGGGTTGTTGGCTTCCCCGTTTGATGTTTCCCTGGCCCTCGTGGTGTCCCAACGGACTCCGTTTATCGTGTCTAAGTCTAGTTTGATGTTTTGGGTATCGTTCGTAGGATAAAAGAGTCTTGTGTATTGTATGCTAGTTGAATTGGTACCCCGCAACCTAGGTGAAGGATGTATGAACCACCTAGGACCATTCCTAGTATGTGGATGACCACGCATAGGTTTCATTATATGTTTTCTCCCCTCTCCCGATGTGTTAATATGAATCGCATGTGCTTGCTACGTGTTATATGTGTATGACTCCCCAATATTGGCTACGGTCAAATTGGTTTTACATGGGCTACAGTCCACCGATTGAGCTCGTCAACGGTGTGTAGGGCTACAGTCCACAAAGAGAGCCATGATCCACCGTTTGAGCTCGTCAACGGTGTGTAGGGCTGTAGTCCGCCGCTGAGCTCGTCAGCGGTCTTACAGGGGCTGCGGTCCACTGATTGAGCTCGTCAACGGTGTGTAGGGCCGCAGTCCACAAAGAGGGCCACGGTCCACTAATTGAGCTCGTCAACGGTGTGTAAGGCTGTGGTCCGCTGCTGAGCTCGTCTACGATCTAATGAGCTACGGTTCATCGATAGGCTACGGTCAACCCCTTCATGCTGCAGTATGAGGCAGGGTGCTGCGGGGCTGTGTTAGCGCTATATGCGCTAACCCTCATGTATGGGCATTCGATTTGTCCTGTGGTGCCACCAAAGTGTGCTTATATGATAAAGATGATTGATTGAAAGATGACATGAATGAGGTGAAATTAACTTGTGACCTTAAGATTCTTAATGATATCTTTATATGTTTGATTATAACTGTTAGAATGTGCTTATCCCCATCTGTCGAGTCTATTCCTGGTTTTAAAGCTAGAGTCTCCTAAGTATATATCTTTCTCCCTTAAATTATTTAAGTGGCAGTTTTTCTCCCTGATATATTAAATGGACATATTTACCCTTAAAATAAATATTTCATTTATTTTTCTTCTCCAACAAATTATAACCACGATTTGAAAAAATAAAATACATTAAGTGTTAAATTTAGAATATTTTAAAAATAAAAAATAAAATTTTAAAAGAAAGTTTGATCCAACCTTTCAAATTGGATCCAAAATCGTGAACCGACGGTTCAAAATAAAACTCAAATCGCGATTATATATACTTATATGTGAGAGTCAATATAAATGCGGAAAAAAACATACATTATTTGCAAATATTATAATTCTAATTTAAGCTATTGCTAGTAGTTCTGATTTGAACCTCCGGTTCACGGTTTAGGATCCAATTTTTTCCAGTTTACGATTTTAATAAACGGAAACCCAAATATTGGGTTATGTTATGAATCATAACCGAAATTTTTTAATTTGATTGCTATAGTGTTTGGTTCAGTTCGAACCGAACCGTGGTTATCCCTACGTATAAGCAATAATTTGGTGAAGAAGAGAAATAAATAAAATATTTGTTTTAAGGGTAGAAATGTCCATTTAATATTATCAGGGGAAAAAATTGCCACTTCTATAATAATTGAGGGGGCAAATGTGAATGCATGAATAACTCAGGGGGAAAAAGTGCTATAAGCATATAACACAGGGGAAAAAGTGTCATTTTCCCTATATATATATATATATATATATATATATATATATATATATATATATATATTGTATTTTAATGCGTTGGAGTGGGTTACCAGCATTATTCGCTGAACAGATATATTTGGTTTTCAGGCACAGATGATTAGCCACCGGAGCGCACTAGAGGACCTCGGCTTAGATAGTTAGTCTTTTTTTTTCGGCCTGCGTGCCTTGATGATGTAATGACGTGTTTGAGGATAATTAGTTAATATAGCATGTGCATCTGAGTTCTCCAGCTCAGATGTGGCATAACACCCCAGACCCTTATATCCACATTCAATTCATGGATTAATTGAGTAATTAATCATATTTCATTTGAGGAATTAATTCTTAAAATTCCAATTTTAAATATTCATGGACTAGTGTAACACCCCCTAAATAAGGCCCAAAAGAAAGCCCTAACACATGCAGATTAAACAATAAATTAGCACAGCGGAAGATAAAATAGAAACTGGATAAAAGAAAATCCAATTCATGGGGTGTTATGTCACGTCTACCGAACTCGGTAAACGCTAAGGCGAACAATCTGCAAGTGTAAACATCTATCCCAAAACATTAGTTTAACTATATTGGCGCACAGACCACAAAAACAAGGATAAAGGTGCTAAGCTACCAAGCTCTAGACATCGCGCTCGTCTAAACATCACCTGAAAGATACAAAGATAAACATTGGGACGACGCCCGGTCAGTGATAATGCTGGTAACCCACCAATACCGTTAAGTATTATAGGTAGATATAAGTCATAAAACCATTTTCGAAACGGAATACATAAGTATATAAGTCAAAAGCCAAGATCAATAAACAACACAAGACTCATCACTCTCAAAGATAACACCGGGAACACATCCCAAAACACAAAGATTACCCACAACACAAAAGGAATAAGACTCACTCATGGCAACACATGCCCTTGTGACTACACACGTCACAAGAAAGAGAACTCACCACAACGGCTACACAAGCTCTCGTGACATCACCCATCACGAGTTGATATGCCTTCCTTATGTCCTGTTCCAACCTTATGGCTACCCCCAACCTTGTACCTTCATGCTAACCATTACCTCCAGGACCCCTGTACTTCTTAGTCCAACCTTTTCCCTCCTGGGACCGTCGTCCCCCACCAACAATCCGCCTACAAGACCACCAATTCATAGTACACAAGGTACCGTACATGGCGAAACACATGCCCGGATAACACATGTTATCCCCCAATCACGTGAACCTTTCTCGAAGGAACACATCTCCATAATCACGTCACGGCTACCACGAGGTCCGCTGCAATACTTTGGTTACTAGCGTCCCATACCACTAATCGTGCAATCCAGGTAAAGCCACACACGCACCACTCACACGAGTCAAGCAACGGATTACAGCGAAGGTATGAAACCATAGTCAATCAAGGAATGGGTCACCACCCAACGACAACAACGATGTATAACACAAGTTAACATCAACCACACGGAAGATACGAACAACACACACGCTAGCATTAAGACAATAATCTAGCATGCTTAACAACCGAGAAACTCAAGATAGTTCCGAGGAACTCACAAGACACCTCTTGGTCCAATGAAACACAATGTTGAACACTTAGCACGATTCAAGACACCAAAGTCCTACATGGATACCTACAATATAGTTCTAAACCTACGAAACATCAAGAAGACGCTCAAATAGTTCCACAAAAGAACAACGGAAAGTCAAAGGATCAAATACCGAGACAACGAATCACGGGGAACAAATCCCGGACCAAACACCACCGTGTACCCGCGGGTGGACCCACGGGTAGTGCCCCACTCGTGGTTCCGCCCGCGGGAACATCATCCCACGAGGCCTGTACCCGCGGGTAGGCCGGCGGGTGGTGCCCCGCCTGCCGTTCCGCCCGCGGGAACATTCCTGTTCCACAATAAATTCCTTCGGGGATTTTCTTCTCCAAACACAAATTCAAGTCCAAAACATGCCAAATCTCACCCAATACAACAAAATGACTTGAACCATGGAAGATGCCAAGCAATGACACAAATGAACCCTAAACACAAGCTCTAGATATGCAATATCACAAGATAAATGCATAAACCCTCACATTCCATAGCAAAGCACAAGTAGAATCCAAGAAATCACATATAGGTAAGCAAAATAGGTTTTGTAGAGCATGGGTTACCTCTTGTAGACCAAAAGATTTCACTTAACACCACCACAAGCTCCCCACAAGGCTTACTTCTCAAACCCACTTCAAGATCAAACCAAAAGATCATAAAGATCCTACCTTTAAGAAAAAGACAACTAAGATGGAACCAAAAAGACTAGATAAACTTAGATCTTACCCTCCTAGATGCCCAAATAGGTGGAAGGTTGAATCTTGAAAGCAAAACTTGGAATCTTGACAAGGGTCTCAACTTGGCTTGGAGAATAAGCTACACTTCTTTTCTAGAGAGAAGGTAGAGCTAATTTTCTTAGAATTGTAAGGAATGAAATGAAGAAGTCTTCTAGGTTAGGTTACAATACTAACTCTTGGTGGAAAAACAAGAATACCCTTACTAAGCTTTAGAAAGTGTAAGGAACAAGGGAACTCTCCTCAAAGCACAAGGTACAACACAACTTAAAGGTTGACTAGTCAAATACTAGTCCTTGAGTATTAAAAATCAGGATTTTAGGAATCAATTCCTCAAAAGAAATAGAATTAATTACTCAATTAATTCATGGGTTGAAATGTGGATTTTTGGGGTGTCACATCCTCTCCCCCTTCAAAGAAGCTTCGTCCCCGAAGCTTGGGTACGACGAATTAGAAACAAACGGTGGAAGGAAACAACGTTGTGACAAGAAGTTCAAGAATAACTCTTTTGGTCAAAAACTCCAAAAGATTCAACAAGGATTCCAAAGAAATGAAGAAGGCATTTCGAATTCAAGGATTGATCGAGAGTTAAACGAACGGATAGATCGAGCATCAAAACTCTAGCCTCAACACAACCACCAACTTCTAGACAACAAGCAAGAACCAAACAACTAGCTCCAAACACCAACTTACTAAGCTAACTAAACAACAAAACAACAAGCAAAACAAACAAGCACGCAAGGCAAACAACAACCTAACACCAAGCTAACAACGGCTAAGGAGAAAACAACAAAGAAAAAGGCGAACGGAACTACCACAACACAAACTAGAACTCTTCACTCTCCGACTCCTCAGCCTCTTCAGACTCTTCTTCGTCTTCGTCCCTGCGGCTAGAACTGGCTTCAAACTGGTCCAACCTCTGATGCACTGCGACAAACTGCGCCTTCAAAAACGCGAAACCCTCGGCGATCAGACTGTTCTGCTGACGAAGCAAGGTGACAACGCGCTCCTCATGCGCCAAGACATCATGCCCTCTCTTTGTGTGAGCTTCACTCCTTCTCCAGTTTTCCTCACTATCCGAATCACTTTCTTCAGCTTCGACGGCTTCCGGTGCTCCTACTTCTTCCTCTAGGTTTGCTTCCTCCTCAACTTCTTCGTCACCGCCCAAACTCTGGACTGCGAGGCTCAACTTCCCGGCAGGGATTCCAAACTCAGCAGCTAACTCCGCCCGTTCATCAGGTGCTTTCCTCGTAACCTCTTCAAGCGTGATGTACTCACCATTATCCAACTGGAACAGATTACAACTCCGGAGATTGGCGGCATCCAACACCATCTTTCCCACGGCCTTCGGGAGACAACCATCCACACTAACACCTTTCCTCACCAAGATCCAACTCAGCACCATCCCATAAGGTAAGCTCTTCCGATTGTGATCCCGGCAAAACACCATGTGTTGCATCATCAAAGCAGGCAGGTTGAACTTAACCATGTTCTTTAGACAGAAAGCAAAGGTGCACTCCAACTTACCCAACAAACTGCTCTTGTTGTTATTAGGCAACAAACAATCCGACACCAACATCACCAAGATCTTTTGCTCCGCAGACAACCACTTCTTTTCCGGCCTAGAGGCTTGAGTGAAACCACTCGTACGGCCTAGCAAGTAGCTCAAACAGTCACGGTACCCCATGGTATCCGTACTAATCCAAGAATGACCACTGTACCGAGCTACTCCGGTAGCAGACAAACTCAACAACTGAGCCAACCTCTTCTCAGAAAGCACAACCTTTACACCTCTCAGCTTAGAGGTGCTCTCAAGCCTTTCACCTTCCTTCGTCACAACCATGTGACAATGAAACTCTTTCACCAAACTCAGGTATGTCTCGGCCCTTATGGCGAGAAACCCATCCAACAAACCTTGAAACCTAAGCAAATCCAACAAGGAACTTGAAAAAAGATTCCAGATCAAAAGCTTTACCTTCAAGCACAAGGTAGTGGGCATCCACCCATTCCGCTTTCCTAGCCAAACTTGACCTTCTAGGCATGGTAGGAGATGATCCAAAGCTCAACAAGCAAAGCCCACAACTTCCTCTTCACACCCACACTACCTCTCACTCTCCCGAGCTCTCTCTCTCTCTCTCTCTCGCGCTGCTCTCGGCGTCACGGCAACAGCAGGTCGGCGACGGGTTGGAGTGGTGCTACGGGTTGGGGATGGGGTTTAAGGGTTCTCACGGGTAGGAAGGATAAATGAAGAAGAAGAAGAGAGAATTTGGGATTTTACGGATTTGGGAGAAATTGGGGAAAAAGATGATTAAATTTGGGTATTTTGGGTAAAGTGGGAAATTATGGATTAAATGGAATTAAAATTGGGTAGGTTCCAAGAAAGACAATTAGCTCAAGTGGTTTAGAAGTTGGGTAGAGAAGAAAATAGGCTAGGGTTCAAAACTCAAAGGCTATAATTAAGCTTTAGGCTTGGTTTTTAGAATGCACAAGGAAGAATTTTGGCAAGAGTTTTGCTATTTTCAAATGTAAAGAATACTTGGATAATTTAGGAAGCTCACAAGGAATTGTGGTAAGAACAACCAAGTAGAAGGATTGTGGAATTGGGCCAAATCACAAAACATGACAAGGATGGATTGCTAACTCCACAACAAAGCTTAAAGACCAACTAAAGAAATCACTTAGCAAGAAGAGAATCTATACTAAGCATCCAACGAGTTACTAACAAGGAAAGCATGCCGAGGATTGCCAAATAAAAGACAACTACGAAACACAAGGGAACACTCAAGACAACAACGAACACGGTGATCATGGAAAAAAAGGATAGGCTGGAATAAAGGGGTTACCTGCCACTTCATCCTCCCGGGGGTGGCG